TCTTTTTTTAATCTTTTGTCTAGTTGCTGCCAACTTGCAAAAGATTGTTGATGATCCTCATAGTAACAAAAATCTGACTTTTAAACTGGTGAGTACACGGACATAACCATTTATGGCAATATAGTGGATTTTGTAATATAAATGTATATTTTACAATTATTACAACGGTATTTTTTTACTAGGCATCTGGTGTGGAGGAGTCTGAAATTCCTGATGATGTTAAACTCATTGGATTTGCTCAGCTCAGCATCAGTTAAGTCAAGCAGAGCCAGCAAAAAGGGACTGAAACAAATGGTATTGCACAGCTGAATTGAAGTCAGTTTCAAGAGACCACTACTGCCAAAGAGAGGAAGAGGAGGAGGAAGAAGGTGATGATGATGAGATGTGAAGCTGGCAGGACTGTGACACTACTGCAGGATGCATGAGGACCACATTGAGACGAGGCTCAGTTCATCACAGGAATCACACTTGAAACGTTTACAGTGCGCTTATACAGTAAATGGGAGAACAGATGCAATCAGCTATATAAACTCCTAATTTCTTTTCCTTTGTTTTTTTCCTCTTCATACATAAGCACAATCCAAACATCTCCTGCCAGTACTGGAAGTGATTGCCTTTTTTTTTTTTCCTTAATCAATAGTGCCACAAAACTCAAGAGTGTTGCGTGATCTTACATGGCACTTTATGCTACACTGAAATTGAAAAGAATAAATTCAGCCTTAGGTACTCTAACTATAGATTTTATTAGTGTGATTGGTGAAAAATTAAGTCCACGTGTGATTATTTGGTGTATTCTATTAACAAAGATTTACAAATTCTAAAAGGAAACACTTATAAAATCCGATATAAACACACTGCAGCATAGTTGCAGGGTTAAATCGGTAAATTCAGATGGGTTTTTATTTAAAAATGACCAGATTACTGTATAAAGCAGTACAATGAACTCTCCTCCACAGTATCAGTGTGCAGTGATTGTGTTAATGCTTTGACTGCACTGCTGTAATCATTGGATATAAGCAAATCAGCTGTAATTGCTGCGTCTCATAACTGTGGTTTCAATATGTTGTCCGAGGTCATTCTCCTGAGGTATTATTGACAGGCTTATTTTCACAGATTGAGACCTTCCTCATATTCTTGTTCTATGCAATCGTTATTTTCTTTTCACCGAATGTGACCATTAGTCGCTAATAATATTTCTCTTGGGATGAATACATTTTTTTTTGTGCTTGTACCTCAAAAGAAGTTCATAAATTGCAACCAGCAAAACAGGCGTCTCTAAGAATCAGCAACGAGGCTTGACTTTCATTTTCAAAAGCATGTCGATAAAGGGGAAACATAACACACCAACAGTCACAAGTGTTTGTTTTTTCTGTGCCCCTTTAAGGGTCGAACTCACCCTGTTCAGTGATAAAACAGCTGAGAAGAATTGAAAAGGCTAGTGATGAGTGTCAAGCCAGAGGCAGTTTGTGTTACAGGTGGACTGCTGATGAACTTCTGGGGAAGCGTGCATGCTCAAAAACTGAAAATGTTTTACCAACGTGAAATAAAGCTTAAAGGGGCAGTTCAACCTAATTGCAAAACCAGTGGCTTTTAGCCATGCAGATAGCTTTGGTTTTATAGTTGACAAGGATTTGAATTTGAGATTTTTGGCTACAGCCCAATACAATAGAGAGGAGTAGTAAATTAAATTAAATTTGTAGCCATGGTGGCTTTAGACCTGTGTCAGCCACTCTGTCCACCATTGTCTTCCACATTGAAATAACTCCTGTAACTATTGGATGGATTGTAATGACATTTGTGAAATAGGTTCACTTGACTTGAAGGTTCAGTGTGTAAGATTGAAATCTGTTGGTGAAATTGCATGTTGCAGCTGAATACCCCTCCCCTTCTAAACCAGAAAGACAAGCTGTGCTAGCCTTCAGTTGTTTAGTTTGTCCAGTTCGAAGTATTTAGATATAAAGAACCCATTCTAGGTTAAAGGAAACAACAATTTGTACAATTTAGATGAAACACACTAGTGAAAACATCACTAGGAATATGTTATATCAATGTTTTGCCAATAGATCCCGTTCACCTAAATCTTACACAGTGAACCTTTAAGTAATTCTGACTTTTCACCTAGGTCTACCATACGGTCAAATTACAGTGTTCTCAATATGGTGGTTGTCGACAAAAGCAAAACTAATGACTTTCATTTTGACCTAAGCTCTTCTTTGAATTTAGTGCTATGGTAAACTTAGCCACTAAATATCAACATGCTACAGTTGTAATTATGTGCATGTTGGCAAGTTGCTCATATCACTGCTGAGCTGAAGCATGGCCACGGGCACGGCTGTAGAATTTTGAGTCTTGTAGGTACATATACTGTTCTACTTCTGGAGTCAGGAACTTTGTTCATCTGGATAAGTCATTGAACCACTGTGGGTTTATTCTTTTGGAAGTTCTGAAGAAGTAGTTTCTAAAACAAATTACAAGTGTGAAAGATTGAAAAGGAGACAATGTTTAGAATGCAAGGCTCTATGGAGGGTGAGGCCCTGACTTGACCAGCTGCGGTCAAGTCAAGTCAAGTCTATTTGGTTGACATTTAAGTTTTTGTTCAAGACTAAATCCCATAAAATTAAGAACAAATATGTTTGACCCCCACTCAGCAATTCCAAAAACATTGATCTTCTGCTGACTTAAACCAAATACTTGCAAAACTCAGCCATGGGTGAACACCATATTTTGTTGGTATGCCGAAAGCCACTGTGAGAGACCCAGCAGATGACTTGCATGGTAATAGATGCTTATTTCAATGTAGGTTTTCAGGGCGGTGAAATTCAAATGTGACTGCATGGTTGGATTCCACTTTTTCATATATTGGGTGAAGTAACCCTTAAATCTTTTACAGAAGCCATTTATTACTTTAGTGGTTTTGAGTCATTAGGCAGATGTGTTGACAGTGTGTAGTCTCTTCAAACAACAAATTACTTTTGTCACTCCCAGTGTAGCTGTATGGTTGTTTTGTATCATGTACCCAGGGCTGTGATACAGCTCCTGGTTCAGGTACTGATGTAAATGGTGTATGTAAAGAAGTTGTAAATGTACGTATGATGGCAACTCCATGCAATGTAACACCAACAAGTTTGTATGTAATGATGTAGATGCATTGACTAAATGTTCATGTCAAACAAAAGGAACATTTCACTTGTAAATATGGATTGAGACAAATATCCTGAGACTCATGTTCAGTACAAAGAGTTACATTTGTTTTGTAGAGTTTTCCACTGTTGGCCTTTGTTCGAGCATCACTAGTCACAAAATATTTGTTCAACCGGCACCTTAATGATATGTTAAAATATTTTCGGAAGCACATGGAGGCTTGTAACCACACCGTCTGTGCTTTGGCATCCTGACAAGCAGTTTTACTCACTGAAATCTGTTCAAGGCAAATGGATAAAAAAAAAGACAGGTGGCACAAGTTACACTTTTATCTCTCTCATTGTGTGTGTGTGTGGGGGGATTTTGGTGATAAAATGATTGATCATCAAATTCTTTAAAATCAATGGCATTCAGATTTTCTAAATTTCTTTCCCTTATGTGTTTGCTCATCAGAAGACCATCATTCTTCCTCATTGTGCTAGCGCTGGATGATTAGTATTAATTGAATCGGATGATTGGCAAGTGAAAGTAAATCATTACGTACATTTTTAAATATACTTAATCTTTGAATATGTTCATCCACAGCATATAATTTAAAGTGGAATAGTTGGGAAAACATACAAATGAGATTCATTGACCAATTTTACACATTGTTGGAAAATGTGGACACATGCTAAATTATTTTTAGTACCTTAATAAAGTCAATCAATCAAATGAGGGAGGGCAATGTTTGTTAAATATATGATCAAACTGAGTTTGTGTTATTTATGTGTATTAACATGTCAATAATTACCAAACAGTTTACATTCAACTGTTTACACTCTTAGTGGATCAGAATAGCTTTTTTACAAAATTTTCATTGCAAAACAATTCAACATTCCTGGCTTACTTTACTGTGGATCAAGAGGACTCGGGGGAAGCCTTGTCCCATATACCTGGCAAGAAGTTGTTGAGGTAGTTCAGTAGCCCTTTAGCAGCAAGGCACCAGGTATAGATGAGATTTGGTGTGAGATGCTGAAGGCTCTGGACATTGGTGGACTGTGGCAGCACACTCTTCAGCTTCCCAGTAAAATTTACCCTAGTGTCTTGAAAAGGAGGCTGCGGTTGATTGTCGAACGTTGGATACAGGAGGACCATTGTGGGTTCAGTCCAGGCCATGAAACTACAGAATTCATGAAAGTATGACCAGTCAGTCTATACATATGTACTGTACCACGTCAAAATTGATGATGGCTGGATAAAATGTTGTCAAGACATAAAGTAAGAGGACAACAGGATAACCATTGGAAGCAGCTATATTCTTATAATGTTCACCTCTAATTGATAATGATACATTTGTCTTTAGGAAATTGGGGAACAACAAATTCAGAGTCGAGGAATGAAAACAATTTTTGCCTCAAAGTCCTCATGAAATATTTCTTCATTATATATTTTGCCTGGTAAGTAAAAGACATTTTGCAATGTTCTTTTAATATTTGACATACTTAGATTTTCACAGTGGTTTGTTTTATCAAGGTTTTCATTAAATCTGGGATACTTTTGCCTCTCTCTGAATGTGGCTACGTTTGTCCTGAGCTTCTACCTGGTTCAGTTCTTGTTTGGAATCACTGAGATTCCAGCACATCTCCTCTGCTGCTGCAACACAAAAAATTCCCAATTGTGGAACAAATACAGGATCTTATCTCGTTTTCATCATAGGAATATTGCCACCATGAAGAGTGCAGGTTTGTATGTAATGATGTAGATGCATTGACAGTTTAAACGGTCATGTCAAACAAAAGGAACATTTCACTTGTAAACATTGCCTGAGACAAATATTGTCAGTTTACCTTAAATTGTTTACACTCAACTCAGGTAGCTCAACGGCCATGTTGACTCTGTTCCAGGACAATTTAGCAGTTTTGTCCAGCACATCATCTGCAGTGTGAAAATGGATTTCGGAGAGACTCTGGCAACCATCGGAGACTTTGGTTTTTTCCAGAAGGTTCTCATTCTTGCCTTAACCTTCCCAAATTTCTTACTACAAGCTGTCTTTTGTAGTTTACTTTTTGTCCAGTCAGATCCAGACCGACACTGTAACACAGACTGGATCCTCAGAGCTGATGCTAACCTGACCACAGAT